CTTGTCAATGTGTTAATGGTGCCCCTGCTGCTCAGTCACTCCCTATCCTCCAGTTGGTGAAATGATTTAGCCAGCAGTCAATCAAAAAGCTAAGCTGAGTGGTGCAATAGACAGCCCTGCCATTGACAAAATCTGTGTGAGTAAATGTGGTAAGAAATTTGTCAATAGGATATAAGCAGTAAGGTCAACATTGTGTTTAATGTGCTTTTTCGACAGTGGAGGATGTGAAGAATAGATCAGGACAAATATTTAGGAGTCCAAGAAGCTCTCCTTTAACAATGGCCTCTCCAGTCAGAAAGAGGAAGGAGCAATAAGTAAAAGTTATGCTTTGATTTAGAAGTAAGAAATGAAAACCTCTCAAGAAGACAAAACCTGTAAAAATTGAACTCCACATATACTGTCAAGGCAAATAGTCCATTCAAATAGACCCTCTCAGGTCTCTTAAGCATGGGTTATTTTTTAAAACTGAAACTAGATGTGATTCTGAACCTCACCCTACCAATATTTGCCATCTGTGCTAAACACTAGCACACACTACGTAATTCCTGGTAACTTAAATAAAAAGAGCCCGGTCGGTGTGGCCCAGTGGTTGAGCATTGACCTATAAACCAGATCATGGTTTGATTCCCGGTCAGGGCACATGCCCAGGTTTCAGGCTCCTGTAGGGGGCATACAGGAGACAGCCGATGGATGATTCTCATCATTGATGTTTCTATCTCTCCTCTTCCTTCCTCTCTGAAATCAATAAAAAAATATATTTTTAAAAAGTTTATTTAAAAAAATAAAATAAAATGAGATAACCCCTAGAAATTAGTGAATGAAAAACAAAGGACTATGGCAAATAACTGAGTTGTTGAAATTATACTGACCCAACCTGAGCTCACAATGACTCAGAAACAACTGTGGTCAATTTTATTATCAGACATGGAAAATAATAAACAAATATTTTTTAAAACTCAAGTATATAAAATTAGGCAATGTGTGATATACAGTATAAATATTCAATAAATGAGAGTGAATATTATCATTTTTACAACTGACAAAAAAGAATATAGATTCTATTTCAATCCACCGTACAAACAGTAGAGCTAAAACTTCCAATACTATTATGATGAGCATATCAGCATGAATACTAAGCATTTTGACTTTAAAAAAATTAGAGAAACAGCAATAATTTCCTCACAAATTTTGTCAAGATGTTTGAACAATTAGCATTTCAATATATAGGGCTATTATATCCATGACAGACCATCCCCCTTGATCCTATAATGAGGTATAAGAGAATTTTCCCCATTTCTTCATGTTTTGTAGTCTTATACAATTAGTTTTGCTTATTTTACTCTTTCCATATATTTTTTTGAGTCATTAAAAGGCTCAGAACAGGCCTCCACAAGATGTACCACTTTGGCATGTGGATTATTTTAAGCTAAAGGCAATCGAGACCCTGTGGCTCAACGGAAACTTTGACTTCTCCCTTAAAAAATTTAAATTGGGGGTGTGCAATAAGAGTAATCACCAGAGATAACTTTTTATGACATACATAAGACTTCTTTTTTTAAAGTATATATTTTAATTGATAATTGATTTCAGAGAGGAAGGGAGAAAGAGATAAAAAACATCAATGATGAGAGATAATCCTGGATCAGCTGCCTCCTGCATGCCCCCTCCCACTGGGGATCGAGCCCATAACTCGGGCATGTGTCCTTACCAGGAATCTGGTTCATAAGTGGACACTCAACCTCTGAGCCATACCAGCCAGGCAGCAAACTTCTAATTACTAAACACCTGTTCTTATTATCATTCTATGAATGGCATTCCTCCCCTCTGAAGCTCTGGAAAGGCATGTTCCTCATTCCTTGGCTCAAGATGCCATATATGCTTCATTACTCTTTCAGTCTCTAAATCTCTCACATATGTAGGGTTCCCATATGTACATATAGAATTAAATATGGTTCCTTTTCTCTTGTTAATCTATCTTATGTCAATTTATTTATTAGACCAGCTGGGGGAACCTAGAGGGGTAGAGTACAATTTCTTCTTCCCCCACATTAGGAACAAGCAACCAACTATGGGTAGAGCAAGGGAGACAGAGCTGATGAGCTTCCTTCTAAAGCCACTGGTTATGCTTCTGGAGGCAGGAAATAGGCTGGGTTGCTCCATTCAGAGGAGACGTTTCATTCTTTTGTAATTGTTGTTCAATTTTTTGACATTTACTTTGTAAAGGTGAGATTATCCCTTCTAAAACTGATTACAATTTACATGCATGCTCTAAAAAAGTGACTCAATGTTACTTAAGTTCCTGAGATTTATATGAAGAAAAAATGTATAACTATAAGCACAAACAACTTCTATTTAACAATATCCCTTTTAAAATCCTAAGTAAAAGTAAGAGTTTGGACAAGATGATCTCCACGGTCTCTAGCTATAATACTCTGTGATTCAACACATACTTACTCAGTGTCTACATATTACTACGTGCTGCACAGTATGAGGGGCACACAGATATTAACACACCAGACATGACCTCAGCCCTGGGGACAGCAAGATAGAGAAGTGTGGACATGTAAGACTGTCAACAGCTAGAGGTCAAGTTTCCTATAATGTGCAATGTTATTTTCATGGCCTGGCAATGCCTAGCACACTATAAGTGTTTGATCAATATTATTGAAAGAGTAACGGTGAACATAGCAGGCTATGGGACTTAGCCCTATCTAGAGATTTGGTGAAGATTCAATTTGTATATTCAATCTATATGTTCTCTGGCCCTCATGCCATTGCTGCTAACTATAGCTTTTCTAAAAGCCCACAGGCGTGGCAGTGTTATTCAGTTTTTGAACTCACAGTGCTTATAAAGAGATTACTGCTTAAGTAGGTAAGGTTACTTTCAAAGGAAGCTACTCCCATACTTGTGCTTGTAGTTTTCAATTTAAAGGGCCAGTGACCTGAAGCCACACAATTTATTGGCAGTGGATAGAAACAATGGAAAGATCATTCAGTACAAAGTATCCTTTACTTGAACTAGAATCATGGTTCTAATTTTAAAACAGAGTCAAATATCCCACCATAAAATATCCTCTTTTGAATCTGCCAGAACAGTAGAAAATATTAAGTATGCAGCAGAATTTATATAACATATATACATATGATGATTACGCATTTTGTTTGTCATTTTATAGAAGTTCCAAAGTTTCAATGATAGACCATAGTCTTCCAAGGGAAGAACAAATTATTTGAGTAATAGTTCTATCATTGTAATTCATTAATTTGGAGTTTTTAACCAGCTCAACTCAATATACGAACTTTTTCTCTATAATAAATTGCTGTATATTTTATTTGTTATTTTAAATATGATATGCAAAGTTACAGCCCCATACATTTTAATATAGTTTTCAATCCCCTTGTAGACAAATAGTCACACTCTAGTGCCCCCTAAATGAAGAATAACTATTCATCTGTAACACAGAGATACAGAAGGCTCTGGATTTTCATTTTAAAGTGCTTAATTATCTGCATAAAGAGAGAAATAAAATAAAGAGTCCAGGCCAAGTTCTTGAGGGTTTGAAATTACTTTTCTTTTTCTAAATGAGCAACAAAGACTCCTCAATGGTGCAAGCTGTTATGTGGCCACAAGCCAACTGTAGAAGAAAATGTTGAAAACAGGGGGATCAGAAATTAAATTGAAATATATGATGCAAGAACCAAACTCAAAATTTGAAAAATGTAGGTGGTGTATTCAGCCACAGGACAATATTAACATATTGAAGGAATAATCCAATCAGCAATAAAATTAAATTTGCACATTAAGTATTGCAATGTGGACAGTTATATAATCCAAGGTTATTTTTGAGGATTTCCTGCCTTGTCACTCACAAACATGTTTACAATATTCCTATTTATGAACGTACTCAGCATCACTAAAGGCCCACACAAAACACGGTATTAATCCCCAAACCAAAAAACTGAGAATGAAAAAAATTGTTTTTCATGTAAATCTGATGGCCATTCTCAAGTAATTCATGTTCAGTACCATAACTTACACATTGGGCAGGAAAGAATGCTTATCAGAGAAGGAAAGGCAAGAGATTTAACCTTGAAACAAGGTAACTGCCATATAGTTGTTGAAGGAATTTACTTATTATCAGATAAAGAATTTACAGTATTTATTCCCTCTCGAGATATAAAATAGTGAATCAATCTGCAGTTCAAGATATTTAGTTAAACCCAGAGGAGGGGGATATGGCTTTAACTTTTGAAAACCAAAATAGGAAGACAAACAGCTCTAATGTAGTTTATCTTTAGACACCAGATTTAACATTCAACAATTCAAGCTAAATGCTATTTCTCAAGTTCTCCGTTCATATATTTCTGTAATTTATATGAGTATAACATATGTAAAATGGAAGTTGAAAACCACTTATCAGGAAAGCTTAAAATTACATGGATAGCTACTATAATTTATTTAAATATATAATCTACTGATCAATTCATCTATTCATCTATCCATGTATCCATTTGATCCTTCACAATCCTTTTAGTCTACTGATATTAGTCATCCTCTGGTTGCCCTTGAAAAATCCTGCACACGTAACAAAGAAACAAAAAAAAGGTCTGACTAAATAACTTTTCTCCGTTGATCGTTTCCTTTAAGCACATGGTTACATAAGGAGATTCTTTGTTTTGTTTTAGGTCTAATCAAGCCTCATAAGACTTACCTTGCATATGTTGTGGGCCTTCAAATGAAATTCTTCTTTGAGAAATGGCACTGTTTTCTTATATAATTGTTCCCTTGGCTACTCTACCTGGCTCAAAATATCCTGAACTAAAATTTATGCTGCTAATATAAAAACAGCCTATACACAAATTCATCCAGACAGTGTGAATAAGACTAAGTTTAGAACGAACCAAATAGTAAATATACAGACAGACCGATTGACACTGACACACACACACACACACACACACACACACACACACTAACAAAATACTTAAAGAAAGGATATAGTCATCTTTTCCACGAATTTATCATGTTGATCTTCTGTTTGGGGGAATTTCTTGATGTCACGTTCCAGATTAACAATCTGTTGTTCCATTGCCGCAAGGTTGCTCTTGAGAATTTGAGCTGAAACTGAAGAAAAATATGCAAAGTCTTTAGAATATTTGGCCAGGTATTCCAGAAAAAGATTAAAAGAAAACAGTATTAGTTAAAGTATTTTTTTAATATGGAAAAGAGTTTCATGAAGTCAACTCACATTTTTCTGAAATACTGCTCATAAAAATTCCACTCTCCATGAAATAAGAGAAAATGTGTAATATAATATACCAAATCATCAGGTTTAATATGAGAATGTCACCATTTTATTCAGTCATTGGTTCAAATGAATCTATTTCTATTTAAATTTATTGGTGGAATTCCTAATATTTCATTCTTTAAAATCTAATTTGTAGATTAAAGAGAAACTAAGGTTCAAAGAGATCTTATTTTATTAATGTGTCTTGGCTATATAAATGATTTAAGGTTAAATTATACAAAAGGATCAACTATTTTTCTTTGGTTGGAATAGCCTAGTTTTTACAAACCAACATCTATGGTAAAAGTTCCATTCTCATAGAGAATGCGAAAAATTCTTTTTTCATACCCACAGAGATGTGAAAAATAACTGTTGATACATAAGGAGAATTTAGAGCAAAACCCATCAAACACATATGTGCATACATACCCACAAATCTTCAGCAAGCCTTCAAACTCTATCATCAGTTGCGTTAATTACTCCTAACATTCTTTGCACTTTTTTTCTCTCCTCGTTGACAACCAATAATTTTAAGTATTGTATTCAAACTGTTCCAAAATACACTTTCCAGATCTCTCTGATACCTTCTTTTCACAGAGGGACTTTTCTTTAAACTAATGTTATTTTATAGATACTCTATTATTGCATGATGATCAATTATATACAAAGACGTTTCTATCAATATCAATGGCATCTGGCAAGGTTCTAATTGGAAAGACAAGGTAGGTATAAGAATTTGATAGGTAGCCTGTGAAAATGGTTCTTAAACTCAGACCTCTGAAACACTGTTCTTTTCATTAAAGGACTATGAAAGAGAAATAGAATAATATTAAAATTCTTTTTAAAGTAAATTTCAGCTCACTCTGAAGTGTATTGAAATTACAATGAAAAATTCAATGATACCAACAAAAATCAATCCCCTGGCAAATTTTGGCCAAACTCTCCTGATACAAAATCCTCACACTGACTGCATACCTTTATGACTCAATTAGAAGAAATTAACTTAATTTACAGGGAAGTTCAAGAGACTGAAAAATCAAGCACCAATACTAAAAACAATTTTTGTCTTATTAATCTGTCAGTTCAAAGAGCTCTGTCCAAGTTATTTCCATTTGTTTAGATCCGAAAAGCTTGAAAACTATTCTTTATTGAAGAAGTCTAAAAGAGTTTTGTCTTGCCAAAAATTCGCTAATAGCTTAGCCATTATTGCTTGCTGTATTTAAAGGATAAGTTTTCTGTGGAGGAAATCATTCTCTCTGACTTTAAAACTGAATTATTTTGCCCTATTTGGTTTGGTTCAGTGGATAGAGCGTCGGCCTATGGGCTGAAGGGTACCCTGGTTTGATTCAGGTCAAGGGCACATGCCCGGGTTACAGGCTCAATCCCCAGTAGGGGGGTGCAGGAGGCAGTCGATCAATGATTCTCTCTCATAATTGATGTTTCTATCTCTCTCCCTCTCCCTTCCTCTCTGAAATCAATAAAAATGTATTTTTTAAAAAAATTTTAAAAACGGAATTATTTTCTTTACTTTTTAAAAATTGTTGCTTAATTCTTGCTAATCACTCAAAAGGTTTCTCCCAACCCGTTTGCTTGACTGAAAAACTGAAGCTATAAAATTGACCAGTTGTTTGCCGTTTACATTGCATGGGTGAAATAAACTCATGATAACTTTCTGCTATAAGCAAAATGTGCCCAAAGGCCAGGCTGAGGTCACAATAGTAATCCTCCTACTAAAAGCAATAGTGACCGAGCAGTAAAAAGGGGAGGAGGAAGAGGAGGATCCATCTTTTGATTGTTCCGTCCAGACAGTCTGAGCACATTGCTATGCACACAAAAGTCTAGATATCCCAAATAATGAGACAATATTTTTAATCCAGAGAAATTACTTTTCACCTTAAAGTTAAATTCTGAATAAAACACTACTTTCCAGACACCTGTCTTCCTTAATTTCATATGTCAAATCCTTAGTCCTCTATAAATCCCTCCAGAGCTCTAGTCCACATACTCCAGCATCTATAGGCATTTTTGTTTGTTTAAGTGATCTTCCACATGTTACCTTCTGCTTTGAACGGGAATTATTGTTTCGTCTACATAAGCACAGTCTCTGCTAGAAAACCTGAAGCTACTTAATGGTAAGATCCATATCTAATTTTTTGCTTTTCCCTCAGTACTTATTTAATGCATGGTCCTCCACAAATGTTTGTTGAATGAATATGCATATTTCAACACGTTTTGGTTCAGATTTAAATTTATGCCCATTTCTGCAACTGAATGTGCACACAGGGGTTAGATACAGTCACAATGACTGAAAGCTACCCTACCAACTATGATGTGAGTATGGAAAGGAAGCAGAAAGTTGACATCTGTCTAATGCTATGTAGAGGAGGCAGGGTTGCAGGAGATGCTTAGACAAATGAAAGTGAGAAACTGATACAAGAAAGAGAGATAAGAAATATCTTTCTTTATTAGGCTGCGCTATTCTTTCCCTCTAATGAATTATTAATATTATGTTGAAAAAAAGAATAAAATACTGGTGCTGTAATAATCCAAGGATTTCAGCCCACCACATGCATATCTGTGGCTGCATTAAGCCAGCAATACCATTATAGAAAATGTACATCCTTAAATTGGTGGAATTTTGGTATCATAGAGGTAGAAATGACATTAAAGGGCATTTGGATCAGCCTCTCCAGTTTTCTAAAAACACAGGTTACATGTTGTCATGGTCTATTGAAGGGAACTAGTTTTACCACCCAGAAGCTGCCTTTTTGGGACACCAATTTTAAACTGTTTATTAAGAAACAACACTCAGAAATAACCTTTCACCCTCCCCTTTTTTCTGCTCAAGCAATTCAGACAGTAAAATCTGCTTTAGGATGTTGCTTTAGCCCAATCTGAATCAAGTACGGTACACAAGAGGGCTTCAGCCCTGGCCAGTATGGCTCAGTTGGTTGAGTGTCATTCTATACACCAAAGGGCTTAAGGTTTGATTCCTGGTCAGGGCACATACCAGGTTGCGGGTTCGATCCCTAGTTGGTCGGGGTACATATGAGACAACAGATTAATGTTTCTCTCTCACATGGATGTTTCTCTCTCTCTTTCTCTCCTCCTCCCTTCCTCTCTCTAAAACAAAACAAAATAAAAACAAGAGGACTTCATACAGGGACCTGTTAACTACGTAGCCCTGTGTCTCCCTGCTTCTGAGTTACCTTGAAAGAATGTTCCTGCCATGTATGTTCTGCTCATCCTCAACTACCTGTAAATCTCCCATTCTCACTTCTGAAATCTAAGACCCCCAGCCCCTCTCCTTTGTACAAAATGCCTTATATATTCAATGTTGCCTCACTGTCCTTGAATTTTCATGCCTCTGTGAATTCCCCATGCTCATGTCTTAAACATTTGATTTTCTCCTGTTAATCTGTCTCTGTTAATTTGATTATTAACTCAGCCAGAAGAATTTAGAAGGTTGGAGAAAAAGTATTAATTTGTCTTAGTCCGCACACCAAGCTTCTAGAAAAGAGTCCAAGACATGGCTTGCATGTTAATGATACCTTTGTAACTAACCTAGTTATTAATTAACTGGAAAGGTGCAGAGGGAAGGCCAATAGCACAGGCACGCCACCTGTGCAGCTTTGCCAGGAAGCCGCAGTTTAACATTCCCCAGGCCCGTTCCCTGCAGATCCTGGGGGAAGGGACTGGACAGGGGAGAATAGACACAGGCCCAGTAAGGTCTGAGTGACAATAGGGAAGGCACTTGTCTGTCAGTCACAGGTAGGAACAGGACATTGGCCAGAGTAGGTGTGGCCACTGCAAGTACAGGAAGATTTGAGATACTTAAGCTCCTAAACAAAGGAGTTTGTTTTCTTGCCTCTTGCTCACACTTGACTCCTGACTTGCTGGGGTCTCATGCTCCTGATATTTGCCCACATGGCCCACAGCCATGTGGACCCCACACAATGGGCTGATGGACTGTAACCAGCCTCGTACTATACCAGATGCAGCTCCACCATGCAACAGCAACTCTGCACACTGGCTCTGCTTCTAGCTCTGATGAATCCCCAGCTGCACATCTTCCAGGACTGGATTAAGGGAAAGGGGATTCTAGAAACTGAGAGATGTAATTCCATGAAAATAAAGCTTTCTACCTCATTTCATCCTCCCGTGGGGGCCTCTGGAAATGCTTATTCCAGTAGCAGCCCAAGAACCCCATTCCCACTAGCAATGGAGAAAGACAATCCACACATTTCTCTCATAACATTAAGACCTTATTGGGGGTGAGAGTGTGTTGCAATCCGAGGGAAACATGCCTGATGGAAAGGGGAAGAAAACAAGAGGGTAACTTACTGAACTGACCACAGCTTTAGAAAAAACACAGCTGGTTGCTTAGTATCCCAGGTTGTCTCCCTCAAGGCCAAACTAATGGGCATGTGACCTGTGCAGTGGCAAAGCCCCCACCCCCACCCTTACAAGGGCTCTGTACTTGGTTTAATACTTTGTTGCTACCATTTCTAAATTCTCAATACTATATTAAACGGGGTCCTGCATTCATTTTCATTTTGCATTGGGACACAATAACCATGCAGTCAGTTCTGGTCTCCAAATAAGAAAAGTGAAACAACTACAACTTGGAAGAGCTGGTTAGAGGGGGTGAGAAGTGCACCTGCTGGCTCCTCCCCACTTCCTATTCTCTCATTGGCGAAAGTCTCTTTCAAGGGGTGTTAACTTCCGGCTCTGGCTGGGGAGTAAGAAAAGTGGCCCAGACTTAGAGGTGAAATGGCACAGAAGGGGTGCCCAGTGAACCTAAGCTGGTGCAGAAACGAGATCAACAGGGGATTCA